AAAGTTGGAGCCAGTGGAACCGGGTACAGGTCTGAACATACAGTAAAAAAAGTACATTTATTTTACTAATCTCTGAATATACATTGATCTGTGTTTGTGTGTGTGTGGTGGTATCTTACTTGGTCTGTCACTGAAGAGTAGGAAGTAGCACGTCTGAAAGTAAACTGGGAATACAGTTTTCAGACTTTATTCAGGAGGAAAGGAATTCAACATTTGTGCTGGATGATATTGGTGGTGCCTGTAGAGAGTCATTTCTAAATCTTAATGTGTTATTCGACAGGGCATCAGGTGGAAATAAAGGTCAAGCAACAAGTTTCAAAATCAGGGTACATGTGCATTATGTGTCTCAAAATGTGACTGTATGTATGTGATATAGCTGGTTACCTGCAAGAGATGATGGGCAGCTTGACCTCAACTTGACTAGCATCAGCAGATGGAATGGAACAAAACCTATGGAGCACAGTTCAAAGAAATAGGAGATATTTAGCTACTCAAAAAAACTCTAACACTGCTGCAAAAATGAGAATCTGAATTTGAAATGAACAAGTAAGAAACTGAAAAAAGGGGGAAAAATACACTTAATGTTTCACTTAATAGATAAAATACACTTCAAATATAAATAAACATATTTGATCAAACACTATCAAAATTAAATCTGAAAAAGATTTTATGCTAACACTAGCAATAAACGTTATGCAAACATTTAACTAAACGAAGTTTGCTGATTTATCCAAAAACCGTGTAAACAGGGTCCCATCAACTGGGCCTACTAAGTTTGAGCAACTTTAAGTAACGTTTGCATGCTAACCAGATAAATGAACTGGAAGACACAAACAGGCTGGAGATGAGCTTAGATAATATTTACTGCCAAGTTGGTGACACTGAACCCAAAATTAGAATTTTACGCAGACGTACAAAAATATTGGCCGCATCTCATTGCACATAACATCCACGCGAACGGAGATATTCACCAATTTTGATAACAGGCTTTCACCACAATCGCCAATTCTTACTTTAAGCCTACTTTCGCATTAGTTATGTTTTTTAATCGCATGGATGGAACTATCAGCTATATGTCAATCTGATGTCAATCTTAATATAGTTTTATAATGTACTTACCAAGAACCACAAGCAGGTCTTCACTGCTTGTTGTGTGACTCTTCAGTTACCTCTTATTGAGGCACGTACAAGCGCATCTGCGAGATTTAAAAAAGCGCGGGTCCGGTCTGCGCTGCTGCTCCGGATCAGATACGGACCTTTCTGACGGACTGTTAGTCAGAGGTTGTGGACAAATATGCTGCAAAGCTGGCGCAGAGGTGCATAGTGAGTGTGACTGCTACGCGAATCTGGTGATTCGAAAACGGATCCGGCACAGAGGGAATTGCTGTCTGGGGCGTCTCTATAAAATAAAATTTCACTGACAGCGTTACGTGAAATTTAAAAAATCCTATTAGACCTACTTTGAATGACAAAACGAATTTATTTGACCAATAGTCCTGATGTATATTTGCATAGCATGACAGGGGGGGGCTTTGTTTAAACTTTTAACCATGATGGTGTCGAATAGGGCAACAGTATTGTAATTCCCCAGCCACGGTACAAAACAACTTCTGTCACAGCAGTAGATTCTCATAGGATCTAAAAATTGATTCAGATAGATTTTTCTGCTGCAATATTGTGGCGCTCCTCCGCTTCGCGTCGGGTCCTGATCACACTGTCGGGGCTTATTTCTGCGATAACTACCGGCTGCCTGTACATTATCCCTTACGCATAGCACAGAAAAGCTGGCGCACGGCCAAATGTTGCGCCTGTCATCTGAAGCCCTAGTGATTAATGCGCATGCGTGATATAATACCGGTATGATATCGCCCAGCCCTATTTCATAGCATAGAAAACCATGCATCACAACGTTTTAATAGAATGATTTAATAGAAATGGATTATGTCGGAATGCTTACAAAGACTTTCAGCAGTAGATGATAAATGTAAGTTGGTACAATAAAGCTATAATTAGACTAAGCAATATCACATTGATCGTCACACATAACATGTACTTTGGTGAGATCTGCACATCCTGGCATGCCTTGCACGCGCTCGTGTACAGTACATAACCTTGTGTCTGTGCCTTGTATTGTTGTTGTTGTTGTTGTTATGGCTATAGCTGCCTTCTTGATTGCGGTGTGTATGTTTGCCCGTATCTTGTGTGTACCCTGTCCGATCCTCGCGTGTTTTTAATTTGTATAACTCCCCATTAGTGATGCGCGGGTCGACCCGTGACCCACCGGTGCGGGCGGTTTTAGGGCAGACATTTTAAAAATATCGTGGGCGGGCGGGTCAAAAAGTTACAAATCGCATTTCATTATCGATCAAAACGTGTTGTAAACGGGGTTCGAATTACCACGAGGATCTCCTAGTTCCACTTGCAATCACAATCAGGGAAATAAAAGAAAATAAAGCTATGCGTAGATAATCTAATAGAGTTCTCAGATCTGATGTTACAGTTTTGACAACTAGTGTGTTTTGCATACATGCGCGCTTGTGTGTGTTTGTGTGTGTGTGAGAGATGTCTTTCGTGCAATTTACCGCAACCCTAACGCAACCCCAACGTAAAAATCGATCTTTCGGTTTCTTTGTTGTTGTTTGGTACACAGTTAATCTTGCATAAAATTGTGTCATCATCTTCAATGCGAATCTAGCAAAAATCTATGTCATCTATGAGTTACAATGTCACAAATGACACTTCATTGGTAGGTTCCATGGCAATACAGGCTCATTGGTGTTTTTTTTTTCCTCAGATCGGGTCGGGTTTTGGGTCATTTTTGTGGGTTGGGCGGGGCGGTTTGGATCTCCTGACGGGTCATTTTGGGGCGGGTGTTAAAAAAAGCTGACCCCCCTCAACACTACTCCCCACCTTAAGTTCACCTTACAATTTGGCGTCTGACCACCTTGTGTTTCCGTTTTGTGTATTTAGTGGGGTTACTCGTAGGGTGCCTGTTACAGTCTTTTTCAGGACTCAAATAAAAAGCGTGATTCTGTCCTAGCAAGCAAGTCCCCTCATCCTTCGCCGTACTCGCGATGCCACGGTCTAGTTAGAAACCATCTAACTATAAAGTAGCGGATGACATCATGATTTCAATCAGCATGCGATGGGAGAGCGTGGAGGAACTGAATTTCCTGTAACACCTTTCAGAAACAAAATAAGAATTACTGTGCAAAGTTGAAACAGATGGTTCAAAAAAATATTTTACAACTGTGAAATTCTAGAACATCTCAAAATGTTAACCAGCAAGTTCTGTCATGGACACACACACACACACACACTCAATAAACCACAATTGCTCTGCTTAGTGAAGCACAAATACGTGGCACGCGTGTCAGTGTGATTGCTTATCATTTAGCACTGAATGAGTGCAGTGCATTGGTGTGGAGGCACCACAGGTGATCGCTTACTATTGCTAATCTCTGGAAGTTTCTCAAACGATGGATATTAGGAAGAGACCATGCGGGGCTGAATAAGTCAGGCTGCTTAAACTGTCAATATGCCATTATTTATTTTGGTATGGTATTTTTTTTTTATTTTCTCTTGAAATGTAACTTACCAGGATAATAAGACTTGCACTGTGGCGTTTATCAAAGTTCCCCCAGAACGAAGACAAAATAGGCAGGCCTATTTCCCGGGCTGAAAATTAGTCCCACTCCAGCTGGCCGGACACACGGTTGTGCAGGAAGTCTGGTTTGCTGATATCACCAACCCCTGCATCATCGGTCTGGACCTACTGATTTGACTGGGAGTAGCCCTCCACCTCAGCGTAGACATGGTAGCTCTTCAGAGCACGAAGAAGTCCACTCAAGGGAGCAGCTTGCAGCACCCAGGGAAAGAACACCAGGGACACAGCTCCAACCCGGCCCTGATTGCAGAGCACAGTGACATCGCAGCAGGGGGGTCTCCTGAGACAGTGTGAGCTGTACAGAAGGTGCCACAGTGTAGCAACTCAAAAGCTCTGTTCTCAAAGCTCTGTTGAGCCAGTTCCAGGACCTCTTTGGCGCCTGGGACGAGGTTTTCCGACCCACTTTCCTGATCCAGCACTGCTTTGATACAGGGGATGCCCTGCCCATCTGCCTGTGTCTGCACAGACTTCTTTTGGCAAAGCATCAAGTGGTAAAACAGAGGATTAGAGAGATGGCAGTGGTAGCAGTCATAGAACCGTCTGGAAGGCTCCAGCAGTCCTCGTCACCAAAAAGCCCGGGTCGTGGTGGTTTTGTGTTGACTACCGACAGCTGAACGCAGTGACGATGAAAGATGCCTATCCAATGCCACTCATCAACAACACACTTGATGACATTGCTGGATCAACGTGGTTCACCCCGGACCTCCCGACTGGTTACTGGCAGGTCAAACTGGTTCCAGCAGGTTCAGGGCCCCCAAGGAGCTGCACAGTGACTAGGGGAGGAACTTTGAAGGCATAGGTGTTTGACAAGGTCTGCCGGCGACTGGGGATCATGAGGACCCGCACCACCCCCTTTCACCCTCAGAGTGATGGGCTGGCGGAGTGGTTTCACCATACCCTAGCCGCACGAATGGCGATCCTCGAGGACAAGCACCAGCATGACTGGGACGCCCACCTTCCCCTGGACTTGTGGGCGTATCACGCAGTGGTGCAGGAAAGCACCGGCTGCACCCCCACTGCCCTCATGTTGGGCCATGAGCTGTGAACCCCGGTGGAGCTGGTGTTCAGCTCACCTCCTGAGCCAGAGCTGCCAGTGACATTAGGACTGGACTACCTGCACCAGCTCTGGGAGTGTGTACGCACCCTGCACCAGTTGGCCAGGGACTATCATGATGCGGCCACGGCCAGGCAAAAGAAGGCATATGACATCCGCTGCCAGGGACAGGACTTCCAGCCCAGGGACACTGTTTAGATGTACTGCCCCATCAGGAAGAAGAGCTGGTCACTCAAGCTCGACAGGCACTGGAGGGGCCCTGGGGAGGTCCTAGAGCAGATCTCTGAAATCGTGTACATGGTATGGTTGCTGGAGCAGCGCAGGACTGTCGTGTTGCACCATGACCGCCTGACTCTATACCAACCCCTGATCCACTTGGAGCAGCCATTACCAAGACCAGTGGTGAGTACCCCGGCAGCAGGGACTGAACAGGACAGTAGGGGACTCAGGATCCCATGGCTGCAGAAGACTCGTCTCTGCCCGAAGCGTTTCAGGGACTTTGTGGGGGTTCCGGGACAGTTAACCCCAGAGATGGGGGGCAGTGTAGCGCCGTGTGGCTTGTGTTAATTATAATTGCACTCTGGGGTAATGGATTTTCACGGCGTCAGTTTTGCTTATTTACGAGGAAAATATATAAATATGGTTGATTTTTAATAGTTAAAGAATTTCTAGAATAAGGCCTAAGTTGTTATATGTATATGGATGCTGAAATCTGTCTGCACATTTACATGAATCCCAGGAACCCCAAGCCCCGAGTATTTCAGCCCTGATGCAAATGTTCCTTAAAAAAATCAAGCCCCAGGTATATTTCAGTTAGCCCCGGATCTTTAAATTGCTGGAAACTGTTCCAGCCAAATGCATGTCAAAAAACTTTGTTTAGCAGGACTTCTCACAAAACCAATAAATTAACCAGTTATTGGGGTTTCTTTTTGCACGCTATTGAAATGTAGCTTACATAAATTTGTTGGACAAACTTTTTCCAAACTTCCTTCGACCGCCTCCATTTATGATTGTGAAAGTGAAAGTAGAATTTCAAAAGCATTTTATACAGCCACACAGATCACGACAGTAAAACAGAAAATTGAAGTACGTTTGGGATTTACTAGTTGTATAATTAGTATAATAAGCTCTTATATTAATACAGATTTTGAAATCCTTCTACGCACTCTAAATGACAACAACAACAGAAACAAACAGTTCTACCAAAAAACACCTCAAAAATTTTTTAAAAAAAAAGAAAAAATTACGAATTCTGGGGTGTATTAGCTACAGTTTGCACGGTATATAGGTCTATTTCTTTAAGAAATTTACCTTTTCCAAACGACCCTCGAAAGCTGGTTTTGCAGACACAATAGCGAAAATGAAAGCAGGAGTTCAAAGCATTTTATATAGTCGCACAGGTAATGGCGGCCACGCAACTGTTCATGCATGGGCGTCGCCGCCATTAAATCTGAGGGGGACGTGTCCCCCTCACATTTCATAATTAGTCGTTTGGACCCCCCAAACATGTAACATAAAATATTTGTTCACCCAGCGCTGTTTCTTTTGCGCTGTCCCCCCTCACATTCAAAATGCTTCTGACGCCCCTGTGTTCATGAATATTTAAAATGACAGCAATTCTCATTTCAGGGTTACCGTACATGTAGTTGTTGAGCTAAAATGCTGTGGTAAAGTTGGTTTTATATTTATATTTATATTCGATATTCGTTTGATATTCGGATTTGCCTCCCCCCTATATCTTTGAAACGACACCACCAAAAGTCACAAATTTTCTGTTTCGGAAGAATATACAGATTGTACTACAACATTGTATACTGACTGATATATTCATTAATTATTGTAGTGATGAGGCATTTTACGCGAAACAAATAAGCCAGCGTTGGCAGCGCGGCCTTTTGCTAGGGACCGTCTACAAAGTGCATTCAGTATGGACAGGGGAACCAAACATTACTACTAGAGCATTTCTGCTAAGATTTTCTAACAAAAAAAAAGTAGTTCTTCCAAAAAGACACTAGGAAGAAGAACAAACTATTTAATTTGCCTTTTAAAGTATAATAAATGAAATCCTAAAGGAGATACAATAATTACACATACACAAAAATTTTTTGGAAAAATTATTGAAAACCACACAAATGAATTTATCTGACTACAACGGTTGTAGTAATTGCCAGAGGTGATGAATGACTTACTACAAGTGGAATTTTACAGAAATATCTAAACATGAAGTTACAGTAATTCAATATGTTTTTTGAAAACTTACTGTAAACTACAGAAATGAATTTCTCTGACTACAAAGGTTGTAGTAGTTGCCAGAGGTGATGACTGAATTACTACAGGTGGAATTTTACAGAAATCTCTCATGTCAAGTGAACAGTAATTCAATACTGAAATGATCTTAAGTATATATGTGACCAGATGATGAACTCTGCAAATGAAGTAGGACAGGATAAAATATCTAATCAGTTGTCTTAATTGTAACAGAGAAGGCATTGAATGGAAAAATTACTGATTTGGGGAGACTTCAAATGGTTGTTCAAGGTGAGAATAGTGGGCCTAAAAGCAAAACAATAAGGGTGAAGACTGGTGGCAAATGAAATCAATGTCCTAAATGGATAAATTAGGGAAAAGTAGTGTAAAGAAAAAGAAATGACCTGGAGACAGAAAAGGTTTTCAGAATCCCATATCATCAAGGAAGTTTAATTTAAGGAAGTTATTATGCAAATAATAATAATTATTATACAATATTAAGAATGACAATAAGTGTCACATCCCCAGTGTTGGGGAGTGACGAGTTACATGTAACGCGTTACATAATTTAATTACAAAAAAAATGTAATTGTAATCCGTTAGTTACTACAGAAAAAAATGTAATTAAATTACAGTTACCCATGGACATATTCATGATTACAATTTTAGTTACATTATAAGATTGTATGCAAAACTTTGCTAATATCTTTAATAACAGTATTTTTTATTGTTTTCATGTTTTTCTTATGCAAAACATCCTCCTTTTCTATTTCCCTCCACAGCTGAAAGAAACTATTCGATGCTTCTGATTGGTTATCCTGTCGCGTCTACATTTGCAGCGCCAATTCTGCTAATTAACTTGCCTGGGTGGTCTGAGATTCTGTTGCAGGCAATGGCAGACAAGGAAAGACAAGGAAAGGAATGCATTCCATTGCTTGAAATATATATATATAAAAAAAAACATTTCCGATATATTACGGAAAAAGGCACAAATTTAAGTGTGCAATGCAGTGCGTGTTTACCGGCTGTAAAGATGTTGTCGATATTTAAACAGTCCATGTCCAACCTAAGGAAACATCTAGAGGTAAGTGCAGCTTACTGTGACTGCAAACAGTCATATTAAACAAGGCAGGGAAGACATGCCTACCTTCAGCATGCCACACCATGTTTCTAAAGTGTAATGCCCGGTACACACTGTGTGATTTCAGCAATCTTATAAAATAATTACCGATCACACTCTGCGATACGGATCTAATAATCTTGGCTATGACAGGTATGCAGACTGTATGACGACGACACCTACTCAATCATAAGATACGGCGCCTGTGACAACAAAACAAAACGTAAACACTGACCATGCGTAAACACCACAATGAATCGCGAAGTGTGTACCGCGCTTTAAAGCCACACTGGCACTTCTGATCCCGTTGACAGAAAATGTGCCGTCCTCCTTCAATATGCTAAGGTTATTGCTAATTTATGTTAGGTCTGATATTAACACTCCTGACATGATATGTCGCATTGAGTTTTGAAAATTCACTAACTAGCTCAGCCCTGGGCGATGCAGCCTTACCACTCTGCTAACCCATTTTATTTTACAGTGCTGCGAAGACACTGTTTTAGGCTACTCCGTGATTTGTCATTGAAAAACTGATTTATACAGAGTAAGTGATTACACAATCAGCTGAAATTTCATATCCTGTCTGATGCAAGAACTGTTCAGATCAGAAGTAAAATGGAACCATTTATTTTCGCAAGTATATAAAATGTTTGTATCATAATGTAAGCACTATCCCCGATCTAATCCACAATGACTGATGCATGGTGTTGGACACCTAGTACCTTTATCCATCGCTCGATCGTACAGTTTGATTTTTGACTGAAATGGAGCAGTCTGAACACTGATTTAATTTTTTGGTTGTGAAATTTTAGATACAAATGTTTTAAGGTTTTTCTTTGTCTTTGTACAAAGCTTTTCAGCTGGAGCACAGTGTCCACAGTTCTGTGCCCAAATTGCATTGACTGCTGCAGATGCAAATCTTTCATTAAATTTCTTTGTCTTGACACTAAGCTACAGTGTCCACAGTTCTGTTTCAATTATTGGCAGACAATCTCACAAGAATAGACAGCCACTTATTCAATGCTGTTGAATGTTTAATATTTCATTTAGCAGTATTGTTGATTTTATAAAAAAAGTAATGACTTTATAACTGTATGATCTTACAGTAAAACGAGGTCTGAAATCTAACCTTCTGCCAGCTGTTATCTTTATCAAATTGATCAATTATAATCATGTTAATTCATGTATTGAAAGGAGTTTGACAATAGTGTTTTGGTACTGCAGTAAGGTAAACACTGCCAGGTTACAAAATTTCAAAATGGTTAACGGTTGAGAATATTCATTCATAATTTAGAAAAGCAATCAATCAATCAATCAAAAAGTAATCAAATGTAATTTTTTACATTACTTTCATATAGTAATTGAAATAGTTACACTACTATTACATTTTAAATAGAGTAACTTGTAATTGTAACAAATTACATTTACAAAGTAATCTTCCCAACACTGCACATCCATGCTTTAGCACCCCTAACATTTGTACTCAGCCCCCCTAAAAATTCTCCATAAACTTTACACAAATTGGTGATCGCCCACGTCCCCTTTAAATTTCATATGAAAACGGCGGCAGACTTCGGCTCCGCCCCGTCTTTCAGCGCGGTCTTCAACTGAAGCATCACAGACTGCGGCATCACAGAGCGAGGATTAAGCCAAGGTGTGTGTTTTTCGATAAATTGTTATATCTGCATCAGTGCAGTCCTTTTTCATAAATACAGTTTACAAAAAATGTCAAAATTTTCGCTGTGTTACGTCATCACACCAGCTGTTTCCTCTAGCGAAAATGAAGCCCTTAATACATACCATATTAATCTATAGTCTACTTTATAAAACAATGATGCTGTTGCTGTTTTAATTGGAAAACCTTACTGTCTATATAAAACATTACACAGTGCATGGCATTAACTGCTATAGAGTTATGCACATAAATGATTAAAAACAGTGACAGACTAAGTTAACTGCATAGCAGTGTGATTTACAGAGATAGAAAAATCCTGTTTTTTTTGTAATAAATATTGTATTGTATTAAATAATGTCCCAGATCGTGAAAAACATTTAGGGTAGGGAAGACTCATTTGAGTACTGATTCTGAACAAGCCAAATATGTGTTAAACATCTATGGGTGCTGAGCCCCCCCTTAAATGAAAATCCTAGAAACGCCCCTGGGCGTACCTCAGTCTAGTCGATGAGGTGATATACTGCACTGTAGAAAATTAAACACTGGATAAACTTAAAATATTACTTCATTTTTTCACACTTAATTTTTTCAAGTTTGGTTAATATAATTTTTTCAAGTCAGTTCAACTTAAAGTAGACAATCTAATACATTAGATTTTTGTCATGACTGCTCATGCTCAACTAATGAATATCATTTGAAACAACTAGATAACCCAAAAGCCAGTTTACTGCAACAGTCCACTTTATTACAACGCATTGTTGCATCCTTGCATAAATAGCTATAAACAAGATACAGCGGCCAGAAACAGTACCTTTTGTTTTTAGACCACAACTTGGGATAGAAGAACAAATCAAATCACTTTGCTCATTTAATACTCAGATTTTCATTAAGCTTAATTTTTAGAAACCCCCCATGAGCAAGGATGCTATGGCACTGATATTAGTCTTTCCCACATTTTACTGTTAGTTAATTTGTCTGAGCAGTGTAGTTCATATATATATATATATATATACACATATGCCTCCCTAAATAAACCTAGACTGTAATAGTACATAAGTTTAAAACATAAAAGCCCTCAAGAGTTTTTTCTCTGATTTGATTTCAACATGCAATAGAATTGCATACGAGAAAAAAGCTACTAGGACCACAACTGTCTAATCTCCAAGATCAGTCAGAACTGATCCAAAGCATCCATTTAAAATAAGAAAAAGCTGTAAGGTCCTTTTTGGTCAGAGTCTTTCTCATGATGGTGGGTAAATCTGGGCTGGCTCTTCTGATCCTCATGACTTGTGCGCATATTAAAATAGGGCAGATGTAAACCATTCATGTATTGTCCCATTG